CCCCCGCCCAACCATGTCCAACAGACAACATCCAAGCATTTAGCAATTCTTCCCTTCCACACTCGACTGTTTGGTAATAAGTAATCAGGCCTATTCCACTCCGCTATGCCACTGGGCAGGGAGGGGGGCTTCCTTCCGATAAATCGGCCCCGACACAACAGAGCGCTCACCTCCGCGGTATTTGGCCTTTGCGCCAGCTACACCGACGCCGCCCCTTATGTTCAGAAACCGTTCAGCGACTTGCTTTAGAACAGGGTGACTCACACCTATCCAACAGAAACAAAACAAGCTCGAACCAGAATTTCCAAAACGCAATGGTAAAACACCTATTTTAAAAATGGTTATACAATTCAAATATTATAGAAACAAATAATAAAAAAAACAAGTTCCCCCTGCCCATAATGCCAGGCTCCCAGGGATGGCCATTTACAGTCTGCTATACGTTCATCTAGAACTTTTTCTAGGTACATATTAATATTATCCTTTTATTTTTCAAACACTGTTACTGATACTGTTTCTAACTTGTCTTCTGCAATTTACATCTAAGTGGTCAAAACCAAACATTTAATGGTTATAAAGAATTCCACTATATGGATGGACCATCATTTATTTAATCAATCCCGTCATGGACATTAGCATGTTTCCAACAGTTGGCTAATAAAATAATATCTCATTGTGTATCAAAGGATACTTTCTCGTGAAAGCCCACAGGGTGGGAAAAAATATTTGCAAATAATGTTTCTGATAAGGACTTAGTATCCAAAATATACAGGTAAGTCTTACGAATCAACAATAACAACCCAATTCAAAAATGGGCAAAGGACCTGAATAGATATTTCTCTGAAGAAGATATATCAATGACCAACAAGCACAAAAAAAAGATGTTCAACGTCATTAGCCATTAGGGAAACAAATCAAAACCACAACAAGATACCAGTTCACACCCGCTAGGATGGCTGTTATCAAACAGACAGACAGGAACAAGTGCTGGTGAAGATGCAGGGAACCTGTGCGCTGTTGGTGGGAATGTGAAATGGTCCCACTGCTTGGGAAACAGTCTGGCAGTTCCTCAAACGGTTAAACAGAATGTCACCATGTGTCCTGGCAACTCTACTCCTAGGAATATACCCAAAATAATTAAAAACAGGTGGTCTAATCTAACGAAAACTTATACGCAAACGTTTATAGTCACAAGAGCCAAAAGGTGGAAAGAAGCCATATGTCCAACTGATGAATGGATAAATAAAATATGGTAATGGGATATTTTTCGGCCAGGAAAAAAAGGAAACACTGGTACAGGCTACAATATGGATGGACTTAGAAAACATTACGCTAAGTGAAAAAAGCCAGTTACAAAAGGCTACATGTTGTATGACTCCATTTATATGAAATGTCCAGAACAGTCAACTTGATATGGACAGAAAGTAGATCAGTGGTTGCCAGAGGCAAAGAGGAGGTTGAATGGGGAGTCACTGCTAATCGTAGCATGCTTCCTTTTGGGACGATGACACAGTGGTAACAGTCGTACAGATCTGTGAGTATATGAAAACCCAGGAACGGTACACTTCAAAAGGCTGAATTTTATGAGGTAAAAAATTATACCTCAATTATTATTACTTACAAAAGAAATTAACCAAAAAAATACTGCAAACGATACTTTCATGTGACTACTTTGTGAGTCTGACCAAGTGTTTCTGCAGAAGTTCTTAAAAGTAACGCTGCGAGGTCTAAGAGCACAGACACTCGAATTGTAATGTTGCAAACAGACCCGCAGGATGTCCTACCAGTTCACGCCCGCCACCAGCGTCCGAGAGTGCCCATGCCCACACCCGGGGTGGTACTGGGCCGTGTGGCCCCTTCACATTTGCCCAGATCAGAGGTTAGGGCTCCGTAACGGTTAGCGGGCCACTGCCTTCCACGATGACTGACTGCACACAAACACGCTTTCTCCACGGATTGTTTGTTCATGCCCTTCGCCTATTTTTCTGTTAAACTACTTCTTTAAAAAAACAAACTTGTAAAAACTCTTTCCTATGAGAAATTTACCCTTTGTCATAGATTTTGCAAATACTTGAAAGCAGCGGTCCCCAACCTTTCTGGCACCAGGGACCGGGGCTCCTTGAGAATCTAGTGCCCGATGGTCTGAGGTGGAGCTCAGGCGGTGATGCTAGCGCCGGGAAGCGGCTGCAGATATAGACAAAGCTTCGCTTGCTCGCCAGCCACTCACCTCCTGCTGTGCGGCCCGGTTCCTAACAGGCCACGGACTGGTACTGGTCTGTGGCCCAGGGCTTGGGGACCCCTGCCATAAGGAATTTAAAACTAGTAGTTGGATTCTACTTTCCAAAAATAAAAAAAGCCCTAGAAATTAAAATCCTTCACATAACTGTCTGTATGCTATAAACAGGACTTGAGTTCTCAAATTTTGTTCAATAATAATTGAGGTACAATAGTTATTGTTTAAGGAAGCAAATCGACATGCAGGCAATTCCCAACTTACCAAGTCCGATCAAAGCCATTCTTGCACTTGTGAAATTATTCTGAACGAAGTGATGTAACTGAGGAAATTAAAAATATTAGGTTATATTGGTATATGTACATAAAAAAGCTATAAAAACTTAGAACTGCAGTTCATCAGAAAAAATATACTCACTTAAAAGCTGTTATTATGAACCACTTGGTGATGAATTATACTGAGATTTTAGAAACTACTGCTTAAAAGAATGAGAACTGAGTAGTGATGATCATATCAACTCTGAAATATAATGAAAACTACGGAGTTGTGCATCTGAACTAGGTGAACCTTACGGTATATAAATTACATCCCAATAAAATTTAGTGAAAAAAAATAGAGCACGGCCTGGTTTGAACTTGGAAACATGTGACGAAGTTTATGATTTTCAGTTTCTTTTGTCTTTACAGGTAGCAACGAAGCCGTGTTACTGTCCTCTAATGAGACTAATGGAGCTTGCTCTCTATTCCCCTGCCCGCTGCCCAGCTCTGAAGGTTTTCTTGCTGTGAGGTTACTGTCTCTATCAGGGTTTCCAACCTGGATGGAGTTTAAAAGTCAAAAACACTGCCTCTGTCTCCCCACCCCTATTCCATCTCAGGACTGTTCTACAAACTGATATTGAGAATTCAGTGCAGAATCTTGGACCCGCAGGTGCTCTGAGAATCAGTGACATGAGAATCACTGGTTAATACTAATACTGTGTTAGACCTAATAAACAAGTCAGGTTAATACATGCATTCTCGACTGGAGCATTGTTGTTCAAAGGAATGAAAATTGGTTCTTAAGAAAAAAAATCTTACTCCTTTTACATGTAGAGTACAAATAAACATACAGTACATAAACAGACATATAGTGTATCTATGGTATTGAAAATTCATTGAGGGGGTAGAAAAAAATGGGCTAAAACGACTCCTTGGGAATGGGTCAAGATGTTGAGAATCACAGGCTATGGGTATGAGACTGAACTTTTAATCAAGTTATCAATTTGTGCCCTAAAATGAATAGTGTCTACATACATGGAGTCAACTCGGGAAGCCATCCTCTCTACTGACATTTTGCTATGGAATGCTGCCATGGCTCAAAGTCTTCTAGCACTGATTTCTTTAGAATTTCCTTGACCCTAGGGACACTTTTAAAAATGCTACTAACTTTGTTAACATCTTGGTATTTGTCTTGATACATACACGCTTTATTATTTTTTATTAAAGTATAGTTGACATATATAACACACACTTTATTTTTTTTAAAAAGGGATGCTTTGGTATACCCTATTCGTAAACTGCCTTTTCTTTATAGGATATGAAAATTTTCCACGTCAATTGGTATTCTGAGCGGCTGAATTAGTGTCCGTTGTGCAGATATTTCGCAAGTTACTTAATTACTTCCCTAACATTGGATATTTAACTTGTTTCTAATTTTTCACAATTATAAATAATGCTACAAATAGACATCATTGCAGATGTTTTGCTTTGTACATTTTTTAGCTACCTCAAGTAATTTTACTTCACAAGAATTAATTGGAATTCTGAAAAATTACAAAGCTCATTACAGGCCAGTCTTATGAAAAATGGTGGCTGTTCGAGTTGGGTAATAGTTATAATTAGTTTAAACAGTGCCATGAATGGCAGGCATTAAACAACTGACTGAGAAGTGCATAGTTTTCTTAATCAGGAGGAGTAAAGGGTAAAGGGACACACAGTTCGGTTCTCCGTAGAGGCGAACCAGAAACGAGAACGAAAACGCTGAGCCATGTACTTGGAAAGTGTTGGTAATTCCCACTTTTTCTCTCAATGTCTTTTGAAAAAAAATTTTTTTAGGAAGTGGGTGACAGGAGTAAGAAATTAAGATTATATACAAAAACATATCTACACTGGCGGATTTAACATTCAGTGGTTCCCATTTTGGAAACGAAGTTCTATCTGTGACATATGACAAATCTGTATTGCCAGCACAGAGGGGCTGGTGGGCCGAGCGGGTGACCGAGGTAGTAAGCGGGCTGCTGACGGGGTGGAAGGTAAGGAAGTGGGGTTCGCTCCCACTAATGTATTCAGAGGGTTAAAGGAAGAGTTTTAGTCACAAGATTATGATAATTAAACATTAAATACTGTTTGAAAGAGATACACATATACAGAAAAGGGTCTAGAAAAAAATACACCTACATATTAACACTGAGTTCCTAACGTGAGGTGTTTTCCTTCCTTTTGCTCATCCTGTTTTCTGAATTTTCATGAATGTCCCTTTTGTAATAAAAACTTTTTAAAAACATATAAAAATTGTTCAGATAGAATTTCAGTTAAAAAGCTGATGAGAAAAAAGCAAGCAAGTGAATTTCTTAAATTTGAAGATAAAAGAAAAATTAGCAAACAAACCCGTCATGGGAAATGAAGGCTCAATTTACTGTGAAAACAAAGCACATTTTAAAACGTGATGTATTTTTTCAGTACCTCATCTGGTGTCACTTTTCCAATCCTATAATCAGGACAATACAAGGGATTAGCCAAGGCATTGCGGTAAGCTGCGGCATGCAAATTTTCAATGACACCTGTAAAATAAGTAAAGAAGCAGTCATGGAAATGTAATTTAAGCGAAGACAACCTTTTCAGAAGCTAGAAGGCAGCGAGACTATACGCTCGGTCATCTTGTGGCGGTCTGCGAGTCAGGAGTGCAGAGACCAAGAAGAGATTATGACGGAGGCTTCTATACCCGAAGCCCGACACACCCTCCACCTGGCCTGCGTGGGGTCGGCCGTGAAGGTGACGGCCTGGGTGTCGGAAGTCCGAATCGAGTTATAGCTCTGCCACCAACTTGCCGTGTGATCTTGGATAAGCATTTAATCTGAATTCTACTTGCCTCTAGGTCCCCTCTCTAGGCAATGAGGGACTTTTCAGGATACGAGGAGCTATGAAAGGGTCAGTGTTAAGTCACATGACTAGCTTTCAGGGGTCAGATGCTATGTTGCATGGCGCTCCTCACTGGTGCCCTGGCACTGTCCCTGCTTTCCTGCTTTAGTCCCTTGTTTGAGGTGTGTCCCTTCCACTGCCCATTATTCTGGCAATCTTCCTATACCATGCACTGTGCTAGGTCCTAGCACGACACAGGGATGAATAAGACACAATGTCAATGTCTGCCCTCAAAATGCTGAGACAAAACTGAAAAAAGTATCCTGGGTGCAATGTCAACAGGATCTCAAAAGTGCGGCAGGGGCGTCAGGGGTGGGCAGCGGGAAATGGACAGGAGTGATGGAAGTAAAACCTTGCAGGGTCTCACAGCACGTGGGCACGTCCCAGGTGAGTGAGTTCGGAACGGCACTTCAAGCAGAGGAAACGGACAAAGGCGTAAAGTAAAAACCTGATTCAGAGGGGAACTGAGGCTGGGAGGAGAAGGTGGAGCGAGAAACCAGGGAGGTGAGCAGGGGCCTGGTCCTGCAAGTTAACATATGAGCTGGGGTGAAGGATGTGGACTTTGTCCCGTAAGTAATTAGAAGCCTTTGAAAGCCTTCCCGGTCAGAGGGGTCACTGCATGGCAGTGTGGGAGATGGGCTGAGGTTGTAAACCTGCAGGCAGATGCAGGCCAGGAGCCGCAGTATCTGTGTAGGCCTAAAGGATGAGGGCTGGAGCCTCCCTGCCACCAGTGGGGAAAAGGCCACTCTGCCTGCGTGTCATCTCTTCTAAATTTTACCATCCTGGGTATTTCTTTGGGACAGGTCCAGAGTAACAAAGATCATGCTCCTTTGTGACATAGTGTCCCTGTGAAATAACAGCAGCTGACAAGAACCAAGTACTCACTCCGCTACAGACACCTGAAGGAGGCCTGTCATTCTGAGTGAAGCCCGCACCCTCGCCTCTAGCCCCTGCGGCCAGTCACCTCTCAGACCAGAGTGCTCCACACACACACTTCTGCGCACGTCAAATCTGTATGACTTCCAAGAGTCCATGATCGCTTCAGAAAGACCCAACCAAGGTGGGCTGGCTAAATGACAATAGTAGCACGCAACAATCACAGCAGCACACCAAGAAACTGCTGCTGGATTTGGTACAAGCAAAACAACTTAAAGAAAAAAATACACTGGGGACAACAGGAAAAACACCTAGGATTCTATAATGAATTTATATACTACAGAAGATGAAAAACAATAACATACAGGTTTAGAAACAAAAGAGAACAAATAATACATTTGAAAACATGGACCACTTTCTGGAAAAGGCACTGTCAAATCCAAGTAGAAAAAAATGTCACCAGCGTCTTTTACTCTCTACAAATGGATGTTCTCAAAAACCCAGTATCTTAGAAACAACTGAATGTAAGGTGACTGCACTTACGAGCCTGAGGATTCTGAAAAGCCACGGCTTTGTCAATCCTGAGCTGAGACTGCAGGGCGGCTACCTCCCAACGCCGGAATTCTGGTGCGGTGGCGACATTGAGCAGGAACTCCATGAGAATTTCACTGCGGGAGACAGCAAGATGCAAGTGATGAGTCAACACTTTAAAAGTGACGTCCATCCTACGTGACCGCAACGCTTTCCACCTTAAACCTAAGGCCTCTGCTAAGTGCAGTGCTCCAAGGAGGTTGTAAACATAACCCAAACCGAAGACAGAAGTCACAATGCCCCATGAGAAAGATGAGAGCTGAGCAGCTCCGTGTCTTCTCAAGAGTGGACGGCCTAGGTACACCCAGGTACTTACATGTCATCCCGCAGGCCCTCCCCGGTGTAGGCCATGTTGTCCCTTGTTGACGTCACACTGAATCAGAAACAAATCAACAGTGAATTAGCCGAATCAGAAGAAGTTTTCCCTTATATCTTTGTTAAATCAACCAGCGCCTTTAGAAAAAACTATTGTGAAATATAAAAAATATAAATAACAAAAATACACACATTCATCAACTAAAATTTAAAAATTAAAAAAATCTAAGTTATACACCTCAAACTAATATTATATTGTATGTCAACTATAATTGAAAATTTTAATATTAAAAAATATTTTAAATAAGAAAATGGCCAATGATTGAACCTTAGATTGGAAGCCCTGAAACATTATGCGTGGACGAACCCTGAAGATATTATGCTAAGTGAAGTCAGTCTGTCATAAAGGGGCAAATTCTGTAGGATTCCACTGCAGGAGGTACTCGGGGTACTCAAATCTTAGAGACAGCACAAAATGGGGGCGGGGGGTTGGGTGGGGAGGGAAGCCACAGGGAGCTGACGATGAGTTCCCATTGGCGAAGATGAAAATGTTCTGGGGGTGGACGGTGGTGACGGCTGCTTTCTGCCACTTAATGCCATAGAATTGTACACTTAATAGTAAATTTTATGTTACATATATTTTACTAAAACTGAAAAAAAAAAGGTAACTGAAGTTGAAGTCTTTGTACCCTCCCAGGCTAATTCCCTCACTCTCTCTCTCCCTAGAGATAAACATATTCATAAGCACTACATACTATTTTTGTTCAAAAAAAATAATAAATGCTCATACCTTAAAAAAAATCTTGTTTTTCCACAACACATCTCATGTTTTTAGTCTGCTACGTTGATAATGGATCTAGTTCATTTCTGAACTGCTATGCAGCGGTCCCATTATGTGACTATACCATATTTTATTTATTCATTTCCCTAAAGATGGGCACCGAGATTGTTTCCTGGGTTTACAAAGTCTCTGTGCATGTGGATTAAAAACTTAGGCTGTAGGATATGCTCATGCAGGATATGCTCACGCAGACATTCCTTGATTCTTTTTGTAGTAGTCGTATCGATTTACACTATCAGCCGCATTAGAGATTCTGCATCTCCCGTACACTGCCAACACAAGGTACAGAAACTGACGGGTGTCACACTGCTTATTACAGTGAAGATCGCTGCTCTGGCTTGCTCCTCTGGGAGTAGACTGTTCTTACCCTTTGCCCATCCATTTTCTCTTTGGTTGTTTTTTTCCTAATTTGTAATTATTTTTCCAAATATCCTCTCCATGTCATATATGTTTGAAATATCTACTTCTAGTTAATTAAATTTTTACTTTAAAGTATAAAGATGTTTTACATATTGTTATAGTCAAATTCATCAGTCTTTTCCTTCTTGTGTCTTTAAGAAATCCTCAACCACCTTGATAAAAGAGAAAAGTTCCTTTACAATAGAGTCGTTTTGGGTGTTTTCACTATTTATTTCCTATTACTTATTTTTTACAAACCTTAATTTACCACCAACTGCTTCAATTCCGCGGGTTATCTTAAAAGATGAAGCTCCTTTTGTACTCTTGAAAAAGAAAGAAAAATTGTTTTTAGTTATTTTTTAATGCTAAGTTTGCCAAACATCATACTATACCATAATCTAATGTCTAACTGGTATTTGGTTCAAAGGGAACTTTACCGAAACAGTGGGTCCTTTTTAGTTTAAGAATTACAAAACAAGGTTCACCAAAAAGTACAGGTGTAGATTTTTACATAAAGCACATTTAAGTAAAAATTCCTTATCAAATACAAGCTTACTGGATTCATCAGTCTATTCTGAAAGAGATTTGCATAGGGGAAAGAATAGTTCTCTTTCAATTTTTGGCACTTTTAAAAAAAATTTTTTTTAACTGATTTTTTTATGCTCTAACACTGACATTCGGAAGAACGTAAATTTAATGCTTCTCTTCTGTAAATGTCCTGTGGTTTTTCACGTTATATTAGGGGACTACGTGGGGTTGACTAGTGCCCCCCAAATACATATCCACTCAGAACCTGTCGATACGACCTTATTTGGAAGTAGAGTCTTTGCAGACAAAAGTATTTAAAATGAGGTCACACTGGACCAGAGAGGGCCCGCAGTCTAAGGACTGGGAAAATCCGGTGATGGGGAAATCTTGACATAGAGACACAGAGAGGCCATGCGGCAGCAGAAGCAGAAACTGGAGTGATGTAGCTGCAATCCAAGGAACCCCAAGGATGGCTGGCTACCCCAAGAAGTCGGAAGAGGCACGGAAAGATTCTTCCTGGAGCCATCAGAGGGAGCATGGCTCTGCTGACACCCTGACCTCGACTTCTAGCCTCTGGAACTGAGGGAGATGCGTTTCTGTTAAACCCAGCCACCCAGTTTGCGGTAACTTTTTATGGCAACTCCAGGAAATGGATACAGGGGTGGTGCTTTCAGTTTCCCTTTTCTTTGGGACCAAGGGACGACAGCATTTCTAAACATACTGAGGTAGTAAAGATGCTTACCAAACTGGATGCGAGACGAAGCAAATGAGAAGTCCCCAAATTGTTAGAGTCCTCATATCTACTGCCAGCCTTAATGAACAGGCCGATTCTTGCTGTAGGAGCATAGTTTTCCAGAGAAGCGATCACTAAACCACTGGGTAATCTGGTGAACTGTATTTAAAGCAAAGCAGAGGTGTGATTAATGTCTTCACGTGACCAGGACAGCAGGGCATGGAGGTTCCAGCGGGCAACCCGGGGACTCACCTCGAGGTCCTGAGGCTGCAGAGGCGCTTTGGCAGGGGCGGCCGCGGCTTTTGCTTTGGGAGCAACTTTGAGAGAATAAAATCTCTAAATGCAGAAAAGACAAGTTATACGGACTTATCTAAAACAGTATATTGTCCCCTAGTGAGCCCAAGCAATAGACCGTGGTCATTTGTAAAAGAACTCCATAGGAAGATTTAAGATGACTAATTTATTATGGACTTATTAACCCACCAGTTGACCCAAGCCTGTCTTAAAGCTCCTATTTATCTGTGATTTGTAGAACCTGAAGGAATACCGAATTCTACATGTTCATTTTACACTATGTGAAGAATTACTGTATTTTCTTTTACCTCGTAACCATCTCATTAAAGCTTCGAGTGATTCTTTCTAGCTTCGATGCTTTGCAATTGTTTGAAAAAGTGTGGGGCTGCCACATCTGCACCCTTTACAGACTTCAGCGTGCTCTTCCTTTACCTGCCCACAGTGTCTCATTTTTTTTTAGTCTATTTTCCAACTGAAATGCTTTAATCTCCTTAATCATTTCTGTAACCTTTAAAAATGACAAAGAAGACCCTGGAAAACTTCCTCCAAGCCCCCTCGTATTTCCCATAGTATCTTCACTCTCTGTGTGCCACACTGAGACCACCAAGGGTTCTATCTTCTTTGACTAACACGAATTTATATCATCCTGAGATTAACTATGGCTTCACCTACCGTGGGGTCTTGATCTATAATACACAGCCGCTGGTAGGGTAAAGGGTCCTTGTAAATGTCGGATAATGAATCCAAAATGCGTAACTTTATTCACATTTTTTGCGGAGGGGAGGGGGAATGACATACAGTGACACAAAATTTGTTTTTTGCCAAAGGTTCACGAGGTTACTAGTGGAGACGTATGTTAAGAGTTAATAAAACCTGGTACTCCCAAGATAGGATGAACAGGTCTTTGGAGTTTCCTGAGGACCCTGCCCTCCCCCGGGCAGAGGCTGCAATGCCGTTCTTGCTGAAGGACAGAGGTGCTTTGTGGTGCCTTCGGCATCACTGCTGCACTAAGCGGGCTTAGTTTTCATTTGTTGTTAGTACTTTTTAATTATAAATTACGATTAGCTTGCTCTATCATGAATTTTGTTTGCTGGGTTGTGGTTATAATTAATCCTACTTTTGATTTTGGCTTTTGATTTTCCAAAAGGTAAAGTTTAAGATATGTGGGCATAACAGTTCAATTACCAATAATCCATAGTTCCATGGCCAAAGGAGACTTAGGTGCTTTCTCCTCAAATGTGCCTGGACAGTGACACTTTGTTGGTTATGTGCTTCCTATAATCTGTCCCATTCAAATCTGTTGCAATGAATTAGCCTAGTAATTGTTATATAATTCCTAGATAGTTTCAATAACAAAATAATTTTTTTCTTAATTAGTGTTAATAATTAGTGTTATAATTGGAAACATTAATAATTGCTTTTAAATTTACTGCAGTTTGCTTACATTGATCCTCTCTAACTTTATCTTTGAATTTTTTTTCCTACTGGAAGGTGGGGATGGATGGACTGGAAGAGGAGATTCTGAGGTCTTTTACCACTCTAACTGGGCTGACCTCAGAGGGTTGTTAATGGTTGGTTTGTCTAGGCGCGCCGGGAAGGGTAAGACTATCGTAGCCTAAATTATGGCCAGTTGTATAATGCACAGTGCATGTATTTAAACATTCACCATAGGGAAACCCTATTCTCTGGTTCTTTGCACTTCCCGCTGACAGGTTACTTAATCAATAATAGCCCAGGTACCGCTGGCGTTTGGAGCTGGCTATTTTGTTGTGGGGGCTGTCTTTGTGCACTACAGGATGTCTGGCAGCACCCCTGACCCGTAGATGTCAGCCACATCCCCCCCGCAGGTTGTTACAACCCAAACTGCCTCCAGATACTGCTAACTAGTCCGTGAGGGCAGAACTGACCCGTGTGAGATTTTTAAAAGCATTCTCAATCTTCCTCCATGATAACCACCACTCCACGGGGTGAAACCTGCCGCTCGTGTTTCCCCAAGTGACAGCTAGGTTTCCCTTGGGCTTCAAGCAGGGGCCTTAAGAAGCTCTGGAGGGCTGACCGGAGCCCCGGCGGAGGAACTCTCTCACAGGTGGAGAAAGGCGCACGTTATGCCGCCAGGACCCCGGAGTCAAACTGCAGGCCCGACGACAAGCGCCCCACAGGCATCGGCTCGCCTCTTCCTTATGATCCCACCCACACGCTCACGCCGCCGTGGGGAACGGAGGCTCCGCGGCCGACAGGCTGAGCGTGGGGCTTCGGGGCGCCCCGCCTCGCAGCCTCCCCGGGCAGCCGCCGCCGCGGTGACCTTGAGCGCTCCCGCCCCGGGCCGCCTCGCCGCCAGCCCGCCCCTGCTTCGGGTTCTCCCGGCGTTAGGTGTCGTCAGCGTACAGCCCCGCGGGGCTCCCCGCGCCCGGCCCGCCCAGCCCGGGGCCCACTTGACCCGCAGGGTTCGGCTGAAGGACAGACAGACCGAAGCCCAAGGCCCCGGGGCCCCAAACCGGGCACCCCCGGCGCGCACCGCCACGCTGACAAACCGCAACCTAACCCTGCCCCAGCCCGCCGGCGGGGCTCACCGAGAGGGCCCCGGTTCTGCTCAGCAGCTTCATGGCCCAAATCACTCCGACCCGGGTACCAGTCGG